CCCCCCCCCCCAGTGAAAGGATCCAAGACCCATTCAAGAGCAGAAATGTGCTGATGCCTGGCACCCTCTGATGACACTAGCTGGGACTGAAGCATGAGCCCCCTCCTCAGCATCTGCGCCTCAGGCAGTCCTCCAAGAAGACAGCAGGCCGCTGGCCTCCCTGCTCAGTGGACACCCTGGGCGGGCTGGGCCAGGGGTGACCAGCTACGGGGTGGGTGAAGTGGAATGTGGCCCCCCCAAGAAAGAGTCCAGACTTGCAGCAGGAATGACGTGCGTGTTGAAGGGTTTGCAGAATTAACAACGGGACCTTTTCCAGAAGAGGAAAAAAAAAAAAGGCACAAGGACGCCTCGCTTGACCTTCCCCACCTGGCTGACCAGTCTCAGAAGCCGGACAACCTGCTGACCAGTACATTTCCCAGTTCAGGAAGGAGAGGTTAAACCAGGCAGGGCAAGATGTGGAGGAGACCCTATTCTATGTGGCTGCTTCGCCCTCCCGGTACGTAGCAGCCACTCCAGGCGGGGGTCCCCTTGCAGCCACCCTGGTCCCCCCCCCCGAGGCCTTCCTCTCGGTCCCCTTTCGTGGTGGACAAAAGAAGTCTCCCTGATGAGGCCGAGGCCCAGAGTGGCCCCCTCTTGCCCTCTGCCTTATTTCTTAGGACAACAAGGGATGGCCGAGAGGATGGAGGAAGCCCCAGAATGACCACCCCAAACAGGCGGCACCTGAGAATTGGAAGGAGGCGGCTCCTACTCTTCGTTAGAGGGCACAGGAAGGATTTGAGGGACCACTTCCTTCTCCTTTGGGCTCCTTCACCTCACTTCCTGCTCAGCACAGAATGACACCCCCGCCCCCTTCATGCGGATTCCCAGAGACTCTTTTCAGGGGTCCTCAACCTTGGCAACTTTAAGACTTGTGGACTTCAACTCCCAGAATTCCTCAGCCAGCTTTGCTGGCTGAGGAATTCTGGGAGTTGAAGTCCACAAGTCTTAAAGTTGCCAGGGTTGTGGACCCCTGCTTTAGATGTTGGCATCTCATTGACCCACGGTCTCTGGGGCTGCCAATCTGAAGGCCACGGGGTGCGAGGGGCGCTTTTTAGTTCCTGGGGCTCCAGAAAGCATCTTCTTCATAAGGAAAAAGGCCAAAGGACATAAATTGGACAGCAGGCTTGGTCACTAGATGCCTCTGGAGAAACATCTGTGGGGTCCTTGATGGGTCTCTGAGCTTGGTAGTTTCCCTGCAGATGTTTCATGACCCAACTAGGGAACATCATCAATGCCAGAGGGGCTTTGCTGTCTCTCTTCTGCCTGAGATTACAACATGAGTAGGGGGGGCCAAAGGAGCATCGGGCACCTCTCAGCCAGGGTGGCAAGTTCCCGCGCTCTTGACCTGGTGGCGCAGTGGCTAAAATGCAGAATTGCAAGCAAACTCTGCCCACAGCCTGGAGTTCGATTCTGACGGGGCCCGAGGGCAACTCATCCTTCCAAGAAGGACCCTGATTGTTGGGGGCGATATGCAAATAATGCATATTGTAAAGCACTACGGGGCAGTGTGTAAGTCTAAGTTCTGTTGCTGTTGCCGCAGCTCCTACCCCACCAGCGTCTCCCCAGAGCAAACGTGCCCTCCGAGTCTACCTTTGGGCTAGGCCAGGGGGCCGGGGTCAGCTCTTAGTGGGTGGCATTTCTCCAGGGTTCTGCTTCACGCATGGAGGCCTGGAGAACTGAGCACCAGGCTGGAGAAGACAAGAGAAGGGACGCTGGGGAAGGCGGAGGGCAAACGACAGGCAGGGCAAAAGGTGCCTGTCCCGGAGAGGGCAGGCCCCAAGGAGGCAGCCACAGCTGGGGGGGGGATGGAGCCCCCCTTCCAAGCCCACAAGGGCAGCCGAGACCCTGGAGGGAGACTCGACCCGAAGTGGGTGGGGTCTGCCCTGCACTCACCTTTCTTCCGAACCACGTCTTCAGACTCTGGCTTGCGGCTGACTGAGACCACTTTCATCAGCAGGTGGTTCCCCCCCTGGCGGATGAGCGAGACCACCTGCTTGTGCCCCACCTTCACCACGTTCACGCCGTTCACCTGTGCAGCAAGGAGAGGAAGGAAGGATGAGTGGAAGGGCGGGCTCCATCTCCTAGGGTCCACGATCCTTCTCATGTCTTGCAGGTAACACCTGGCCACAGATGTCCCTAAGCATGGAACCTCCTCACTGCTGCCCCCAGGACCCAGGAGGGGCTGCTCAGGGGTCTCCAGGCGGCAGATGCCGAGCCCCGGAGCATTCCAGGACCCCCCCAAGCCTGCAAGGACCCCCCCTTTGGCTCTGCCTTGTCAGGGGGAGAGCCAACCAAAGGCCACTGGGCTTACAGTTAGGAACCGGCTCAGGCAGATACAGACTGCTCTGTTTTTGTTTCCAGCCATCGAAACAATAAAGATCCATTTTAGCAGAGAATATTTAATCCTGAAATAGCCCAAATCACCTTCAAACGAACATTCCAAGAAATGGCAGGAAGTGATTCAGTATTGCACTATCACCATTCTATCCATTCAAGCAACGGGTAACAATTTATGTTTCCTCTGAGCTGAAGTAATGACGTATTTGTATTCAGTTCCTCAAGTTTTTCTGGTGTGCAAAAGGAGGAAAAAAGCCCCAACGGGAAAGAAAAAGAATAAAGAGATGCCGTCGACCCACTCTCGTGGCTTACTTTGAGTGACCCGGTGGACGGGTGGCTTGGTTGGGATGGGAAGAGCTTCCAGCCTCTTTGGGTGGCACCACCTGCCGCCTCTACCATCCCCATGGGGCAATACGGCCCCTCCCAGCTGCTGCCAACCACTTTCTGCCACCGAGAGAGCCACGGAAACCACAGTGCACAGTCCAAGATCAGAATACGTCAAACAAAATCAAACTCTCGTGACTGGGTATTTCCGGGAGAAAATTTAGAGACGTTTCATGGCCCAACTATGCAATATCATCAGGGCTAGAAGGGAGTGGGCTTGGTTCCGTTTACATTTCATAGCCCTGTCCGTGTTGGCGAGAGTCTTCTCTGTGGTGCCCCAATTAGGCTGTTGCTTACTGCTTGTCCAAGGTGGCAGCTCCTTGACTGGGGTTGTGGGCGCTCCATCCCTGGAGGTTTTTAAGAAAAGACTGGACAGCCACTTGTCTGAAGCAGCATAGGGTCTCCTGCTTGAGCAGAGGGCTGGACTAGAAGACCTCCAAGGTCCCTTCCAGCTCTATTCCGATTGATTGGTATAAACAGACAGCAAACCCCACTCCCTTCTAGCACTGATGAGGTTCCCTACTTGGGTCATGAAACGTCTGAAAAAAACCCACCCTAAGCTCAGAGAGCACCAAGGAGGGCCTCCTCCTCTTCCTCCCCTCTGCAAACCCCCCTAGTACTGATGATGTTACCTGTTTGGGTCATGAAACGTCTGCAAGGAGACCACCCAGCTCAGAGAGCATCAAGGACCCCACAGTTCTCTTCCTTCCTTTCTTCTCCTGTTTCTCCTTCTCTTTCTCCCTTTTTCCTTCTCCACAATCCCCCCCTCCCTTCTAGCACTGATGATGTTCCCTAGTTGGGTCATGAAACGTCTGCAAGGAAACCACCCAGCTCAGAGAGCAACAGGGACCCCAGGGGGTTCAGCCCTGAGCTACAAGTATTCTCCTTTATCGACCCTCCGACTCTTCCTGCCAGCTCATCCCCTCAGTCCCCGCCACAGGGACCTGGGTACAAGCATATGTTTCCCTCAGCTCTCCTGCATGGACCTCGGGGAGCACAGAGCGGTCCCTGGAACCTGAAGACAGAACAAACGTGACCCTCCCCGGTGTTCCCTGGTGGGAAGGGGGCCTTCCGGCGTGTCATTCACGGGACCCCCTTTGAAAGCTTCCTCCGAATCGGTCCCCGTGGTGGGGGGAAGGGGCGTCAGAGCAGGGGCTCCAAGTGCCCGGTGGGCAAAGGGCTCCAGGTGGGAGGTGGGTGTTCTGACTCACAGGCTCCGCATTCATCAAAGGAACTCTGCTTTCAAAGAACATTAGTCAGTGATTTGAGGCAGAGGGGAAATTAGGAGGGGGAGGAGGAAGAGGAAGAAATCAATGATTTATTGAACAAACGAGATGCATGCGAAAGAGGACCTGGATCAGTCGGGTCACCTGACCCAAAACGCCGTTTCAGACCCAGATCCTGTCCTGGGAGGAAGAACTGCCCCTTTGGAGGAAGAGGGCAGCCCACCCTCTCTACTCATCCAGATTAAGGTGGTGGCCCCAAACAGAAGCTAAAACCAGCTAGTGGCCCCCGGAGAGCTGAGAGAGGGAGATGCCTCACGGAAGTGAGCCAAGGCGTCCAGGGGCCAAGCCACCTTCCCTCTTTGGCCAGTCCCTGTGCCATGAGAAAGGGGGGGGAGAGCCTGGGGGGCCGTTTGTCTGAAATGGCACAAGGAAAACAGAAAGTGAAAATTCAATTGAGTTCAGAGCAGAGCTGGGAGAGCCCAGCCCCCCCCCTCTTCTGCACCCTCCTCCTTGGCCCGAGCTCTGCAAAGGGGCAAGAAGGGGTGAGGTGGGAGGGCAGGTAGTGGGCAAGGGGGAGTCCTGGCTCCATCTCAGCCCAGGGGCAAGGCCAGGCATTCTTGCCCTTCAGCTGAGCCTGGGAGTGGGCAGGGAAGGCCGAAGGAAGGGGACGCCGGGGCTCCAGTTTGGGAGATGCTGGGAAGGGGCCCAGCTGAAGAAGGGAGTGGGCAGCAGGGAGACAGGCTGGCATCCCTTATGAAATGTATTTGCTGCCCAGCTCTGGGCGGTCGATCTGCTGGCACTTTGGCACCTCATAAAGGAGAATACTTGTAGCTCAGGGCTGAACTGTGGGGTCCCTGGTGCTCTCTGAGCTGGGTGGTTTCCTTGCAGACGTTTCATGACCCCACTAGGGAACATCCTCAGTGCCGAGCAAGAAACGTCTGCAAGAAAAGCACCAAGCTCAGAGAGCACCAGGGACCTTTTTCTTCTTCCTCCTCCTCCTCCTCCTCCTCCTCCTCTCTCCCAAAGCCCCCCTCCCTTCTCACACTGTGGATGTTCCCCAGGTGGGTCATGAAGCGTCTGCAAGAAACCATCTTGGTGCTCGTCTCAACACCATGAGGCTTCTGGGCACTATTTGGCACGTGGAACTGAGCTCTGGGTGCCCCTTTTCCCAGCAGCACTTGGCAGCCTTTCAGCTCCTTTCAAATGGGGGCCGAGGACAAGGTCCCCCACCCACCCCTCAATCCAGCTGGTGGGGTGGGCAGCCTTTCCTAACCCGGGGCCTTGCCTGGGCTCCGCTACTCCTAATGACATGCCTCCGTTTAGTTTCTCTTAAGTCAAGGAAATGAAACATTTGTCCAAAATAGACATGGTTAGCTAATGCGCTGAATGTCATTTCTCCTCGGCACTGTGGCAAAAATAACTGGTTTTGCGCATTGGAATGAAAAAAAAATATATATATATCCAGCAACAGCAACAGCTTTCCAAAAAAAAAAAAAAAGCCATTTTATCCAAAAGTCTGGTCTGAAAGAGGTTTAATCCAGCTAACCTAGGCCAACCCAACATCTGCTGGGGATGATGGAAACCGGACTCTCCTCACTGGCTCTCCACCCTTCAAGCACCAGGGGGGCTGCTTTGCAAAAGGTGGGACGCAGCCCTCCAGGAGATGCTGGGCTCTGTAGCCCCCTCCCCCACCCAGAAGACCAACTCGCCCTTCCCAAAGGTCTTGGCCGGCCTTCTCCATCCTCTGGCCCTGGCTGAGGATTCACACATCTGGGAAAAGCTGGGAAGGAAGGAAGGAAGGAAGGAAGGAAGGAAGGAAGGAAGGAAGGAAGGAAGGAAGGAAGGAAAAACCCTGGTGGCACAGTAGTTAGAGTTCAGCATTGCAGGCTAATTCTGCCCACTGCCAAGAACTTGATCAGCTGATGGTTGACTCAGCCTTCCGTCCTTCCCAGGTGGGTAAAATGAGGACCCAGATGGTTGGGCGGGGGGGGGGGAGAGGCTGACTCTGTAAAACCGCTCAGAGAGGGCTATCAAACATTGTGGAGCGGTATAGAAGTCTACGTGCTCTTGATGTGGCCCTGGGTCCAGATCTCACTATGGCCAGGCAATATCCAAGCAAATTTGCCCTCCAGCTGTCTGAGTTAGCCTCCAGCTGCTTCCAAGCCTGCTGAGAGCTTTGTCCTGCGATAGCTTTACACCAGGGGAGTCCAATCTTGGCCACTTGAAGACTGGAGGGCTTCAACTCCCAGAATCCCCCAGCCAGTCATGGCTGAATAGGCAGTGAGGACTACGCAACCAGCTCTAGCTATGAAGTGGGAAGCACCAGATACCACCACCATCATCATCAATGGAGATTCTGTCCTCCAGATCAGGGCTGTCCCAAAGGAGCTTTTGTTTTTCCTTGAAGAAGTTTCGCTTCTCATCCAAGAAGCTTCTTCAGTTCTGAATGAACAATGGAGAAAGGAAGGATTTATACTCCTTGCAGGCAGCTGATCATTTGTATTCTTTTAGAGAGTCCTTGAGGCCACTTGGAGGTTTACCTGTGTCCTCAGGGTCACCTGAGTGGGGCAAACGGGTGTGGAGCCTTCTTGGAGCTGCTGAAAGGACCGTGTTGTAGACAGGAGATAGATGCTGTCTGTTGAGAGAGGGCTGCAAGGAGTATAAACCCTTCCATTCCCCACCATCCAGTCAGAGCTGAAGAAGCTCCCTGGATGAGAAGCGGAAGGTCTTCCAAGAAAAACGAGAAAGTCCAGTTGCCTCCTGGAAAAGCACCTTTGGGACACCAGGATCATCATCATTGCACGAAGCGCACAGGGCAGCAAGCTTCTTCCAATGAATCCTGTCCACGGTGGGGCCTTCAGCATCTTCTCATTTGATGTCCACTGTCCGTAAGTCATCTCGTAACAGACAAGTTTGGCAGAACCAGACAGCGTGTTGAGTCCCAGCTTGCTTTGTGGAGAAGGAAACAGCCACAGGTCCAAGAATTGCTTTGGGGCTGTTCCGTACTCGGTGTGACCTCCAGCAAAGACTCTTACGCTTCTTTCAAAAGATGTTGGGAAACACACAGTCAGGTAGGGAGGAGGTCTCAAGCAGGGAATTAGCCTTGAATCCTTGCATAGCTGCGAGAGATCCAGAACACACACACACACACAAGCTCCATGGATCCTGATCTATCTGTTCCCAGGAGAAGGCAAGCAGTCTGGGCAGATTCCTTTATAACAGGCAGAATATAATAAAGTTAGGTTGAACATGTGGATCTGGTTGCTGGTGTGCCTGACAACACCCCAGCATGACAAAATGCAGCCACTCCAGTGGCACGCACACTGAGCTCCATCTCCATAAATATCAAGTTGGCCTTAAGAAGCAGCACCCTTGGCCAGGAGACCAGGGAGATCTGGGAAAGAGAGGGAGGGTACCTGTATCAGAACAGAGGGCTCCAGGGGGCCTAGGGGAACCATCCCAGCTGACTAAGGCCTAGAATAGAATAGAACAGAATAGAATAGAATAGAAAATAGGGAATAGAATAGAACAGAATAGAATAGAACAGAACAGAATAGAATATAGGGGAATAGAATAGAATAGAATAGAATATAGGGAATAGAATAGAACAGAACAGAACAGAATAGAAATGGGAATGGAAAAATAGAATAGAATAGAATAGAATAGAACAGAAGGAATAAAAGAATACAATACAATGGAATGGAATAGAATAGAAATAAATAATGGAATGGAATAGAATAGAGCTGGAAGAGACCTTGGAGGTCTTCTAGTCCACCATTTCAGACAAGTGACTCTCCAGTCTCTTCTTAATAATCTCCAGGAATGGAGCGCCCAGGAGTCCCAGGCTGGGGTGTCCGGACAGCTCCAAATATTTGTCATTGGCCTCGATAATCTGCACAGTTCTGAACCAAACTGTCCACCAGGCCCCCATCAGTTTCTCCTCTTTACATCCAGGTAAAGGTGTCCCTGTGGATTTTACTCCGCTTGCCACTGCCGACTCTAGGGGGCGCTGCTCATCTCCATTGCGAGGCCACCGAGCCCACGTTGTCCAAAGACGCTTCCGTGGTCATGTGGCCAGTGTGATATCATGAAGCCCTGTTGCCGTTCTCTTTACATCCAGCAGTACTTTATAGATGGATATAAAGGTCATTCTATAAGGGCCTCCAGGGCAGAGGAGACCAGGCCCTCTCCAGGCCGCCATTTCCATTGACAAATGCTCCTCCTCCTCCTCCTCCTCCTCCTCCTCCTCCCCCCACCGAGCCCACATCTGCTTTTCTGCTCGTTCTACTCATGAGTTCGACTCCCTTTATTCCCCCACAGAAGGGCGTGGAGATGGCCTTGAAGAAAATACGTGGCAGCCTCTGGGGAAGCAGAAACGTAACCCCGGGAGAGCAGGAAAGGGCGAGAAAGAAACTCAAGATTGGTCTTCTTTGGTATCGGAAGGACGGAAGGGAAACAAACCGCTTTCAAGATTTTGTTACAGGGAGTCCTTGATTTAACAACCACAATTGGGCCCAACATTTCTGTGGCTAAGCGAGACATTTGATAAGTGAGTTTTGCCCCCTTTTGTGACTTCCTGGCCACAATTCTTAAGTGAATCACTACGATTGTTAAGTTAGGAACACGGCTGTGAAGTGAATCCGGCTTCCCCCGTTCAATTTGCCGGTCAGAAGGTTGCACAAGGGGATCAAGTGACCCTGGGACACTCCGACCGTCGTAAGTATGAGTCAGTTGCCAAGTGTCTGAATTTTGATCACGTGACCACGGGGAGGCTGCAACAGTGATAAGTGTCAAAAACAGTCATAAGTCACTTTTTCAGTGCTGTTGTAACTTTGAGTGGTCACTAAATGAACCGTTGTTGAGGACTATCTGCATTACACTACTCCATCAGTAGTGCTTCTTATGGTGCCTTGTGGAAGACTGCGGAGAGGAAGGGAAGCGCCAGAAATGCCAGGGCCCTCCGTCTGTGGCTCTGCCGGGCACCCGGCGAGACAGGCCAAGAGCCAGGGGGCTGAGCCGGGCAGAGACCCCCCGTCCTTTTGCACGGGGCCACCCCAACACACCCCAGAGGAAGCAAACAGTTGGGGTGCCCCCAGGGACAACTGCAGGGGATGCCAGACCAGCGAAAGGAGGGAGGGGGGCCACAGCGGGGGACTTTCCGGGCCCAGCGGGTGCCCCTGCCCGGCCTGTGTTCACCGTCGGGGGTGCCGAGAGGCCCGTGGCCAGCCACAGAGGCCACATTTTAAAAGATGCCATAAGCAACCCAGAGAGAAGGAACCGACCAAGGTGACCCTGGGGAAGAGCTTGAAGGGCGAGATCCCGTTTGCCCTGCTGGAAGTTTTCCTCTTTGCCCTCACCGGATGCCTAACTCAGCAAAATGCAGGGTTCCCAGCTGTGGAGAGAGGGTCCGGGTGTGTGTGTGTGGGTTTCTGCTCCCTGTCCAAGGGGACCCTCCACCTGCCCCTCCCTCTCCAGTGCTGAGTGTGGAGGAGAAGCCTTGCTCGGCCTCCCGCTGGCCCTGCCCGGCCTCACCTCGATCAGGAAGTCTCCTGTGCGCAGTCCTGCTCGCCACGCCACCCCCTCCACATCCACCGATTCCAGGTACTGCAGCGCCGGGAAAGCTGGCGTTGGGGTGAACTCCTCAATTGGGGTCTCCGCTGAAAGGAGGAGGAAGGAAAGAAATCCCAGGTCAGGAGGAGGGCCTCTCTGCATGGCTGGCCGTAAAGACATTCCAGAACCATTGACCTCACTGCTCACTGCCTTGGACCTGCAGCCTGGAACGCCAGAGATGGGGGGGGGGGAACCGAGTCCAGAGTTGCAGGAGGGGGGGCTCCTTCCCAGGGGACAAGAGAAAGCGGAGTTTGGGAGGTCTGGTGGGCAGGAAGGGAGCAAGTCGGACCCTCTCTAGCAGCTTACAGAGTAAATCTATAGTTACTGGAGACGTTTGCTTTGCTCCGGCAAGATTCTGTCGTCTAGCCCAGGGGTAGTCAACCTCGGCTCTTTTATGACTGGTGGACTTCAACTCCCAGAATTCCTGAGCCACTATGGCTCAGCTTGGAAACCTCTCCCTTTCCCCTCAGCATGGCTGGCTCAGGAATTCTGGGAGTTGAAGTCCACGAGTCATTAGGGGGCCAAAGTTTCCCTCATGCTGGCTCAGGAATTCTGGGAGTTGAAGTCCATGAGTCATAAAAGCCGAGGTTGCCTACCCCTGGCCTACACGAACAACAGTGAAGGGCTAGGGTTAGGCAACTGAACTTTCTTGGTTTTTTCCCTTGAAAACGTTTCGCTTCTCACTCAGGAAGCTTCTTCACTTCTAACTGAAGTTATTTAGAACAGTTAGAACTGAAGAAGCTCCTTGGATGAGAAGTGAAACATTTTGAAGGGAAAAACCAAGAAAGTCCAGCTGCCTTTTGGAAAAGCACCTTTGGGACATATCGTGAATGGTTTGCCTGTTAACGGGTGGGACTTAGAAAAACTCTCCCCCCCCCACAAAAAAACCCCTTACATTTTCCCCTAGTAACTCCAAAATCATTTACTTAACCTCCTTGAGGCAAAATATACTGGAACCTACCATATCAGGGAAGAACTGAATCAAAATGTCAATTAAAAAAAGGCTCTTGTCAAATCCTTATTCACCGAGAAAGCTCGACTCCCACAGAATCTTATTAGATTTATTGCAAGGAAAAGCAGAATTTTGGAAATTTGGAAGCTGGTATGTGCATCCATTCATACATGACGTTGGGGTGTCTGGTCTTTCTGATCAGTCGCCACGAGGAACGACTCCATGGGTGGAAACCAGTTCAGGAGAATTACTGGGATAAGGAGCTAATGAAAGCTTAAACATCAACAAGCCAAAGAGAAAGAAAAATAGCTTAAGAGACTGGTGGAGCCGTACCAAGAATTCTCTAATATACTGAGAAACAAAAAGAACAAGTTTTTTTTAAAAAAAATGGAAATAATAATAATGAAATGAGAATATCAAGGAAGGTGCCACGGCTGGAAGGATGGGGTTAGGAAGACCAAGGCTGGGAATGAGTTAAGTCTTCCACAAATGCCAAGATGAGTTTGTTGGGGAAGAAGAAGAGAAGAGTCAAGTCATCTGGCTGGAGAAGAGGGCAAGACGTTGATGGGCAACAGGGAGAAGACCGACGGCTTAATTCCTATTCTGCACCTGCCTTTTTGCAGAAGTGGTCCAACCTGTCAGAAGGTGCACTCTGTGGGGAAGGAGAGGTCAGGAGAAGGAACGCCTAGCAGCTTGGACTGGGTCCAGCCCACCAGGGCCAGATGGATCACACCCCAGGATGCTGAAGTGAACCGGCAGATACAATCCTCACAACCACCAAGTGCAATCTCTGGGAGTACAAGCGTTCAGATTTATCCAATCTTTAAAAACGGGGAAAAGTTGAATCTGGGAAGGAACCACCTGAAAGAGCTTTAAAATGATACTCAAGTGGGCTTGGCAGTCCTTAGAAAGATACCGGGTCATTAAGCCAACATGGGTTTGTTTAAAAATAGGTCAAGCCGGACAAATCTAGCTTCCTTCTTGAAGAGCTGGGGTGTGGGGTGGATGGTGCCGCTACAAAGTGGCTGGGCAGACGGCTGGACATCTGGGCTCAATGGGAGTCCTTCATGGATCTGCATGGAGGGAGGGAGGTGGTGGTTGTGTCCTGGTCCTGGGGCTCTTCAACATTTTTAGAGCAGGAGTGTCCAACTTTTAAGACTTGTGGGCTTCAACTCCCAGAATTCTTTGGCTGGCTGGGAAATTCTGGGAGTTGAAGTCCACAAGTCTTTAAGTTGCTAAGGTTGGACACCCCTGATGTAGATGATGCCCAAACCCTGACCCTATAGATCAGGGGTCTTCAAACATGGCCCTTTGATGACTTGTGGACTTCAACTCCCAGAATTCCTCAGCCAGGCAGTACCTGGCTGAGGAATTCTGGGAGTTGAAGTCCACAAGTCATCAAAGGGCCAAGTTTGAAGACCCCTGCTATAGATGAATGGTTGGCTGTACTGAGGAACAACCAAACTGAAGAGATGAGAGCATTATTGGCCAGTATAGCAAGTCACATTTGACCCCACAACCTGTCAGGTCAATGAAAGGCCAGCTGAGGTGAGAGAGGGTGGAGGTCTGATGGAGCCTGGTTGGCCCAGGAGAAGAAAGATGGCCGCTTTGGAGATACGCCACACTTGAGTGGGCAACTGTCACCTCCTGAGTGCTCCTGACTCCCCCCGTCCTGCGCAGCACCCGGGCAAGGGAGTGCGTGCACCCATGCAGGCGCACACCTTCCAGGCTTAAGCAACTGTAATTCATAAAACGTTTGCAGATTAGCGGAGATTTCTAGGCGTTGTGTGTTTCCTGGAGTCTTTCCTAACTGGTTGAGAGCAGCAGCTCGGAGTTGGTTATAAGATGAGCAGCCAGATCATTTTTTTAAATAAATATAATAAGATTCTAAAGTTCAGGTCCGTAACTCTGGGGAATTCTGGGAGTTGAAGTCCACAAGTCTTAAAGTGGCCAAGTTTGAGGACCCCTGTACTAAGGGAATGAGGGACATCTAGCCTAAGGAAGAGAAGGACTAGGGTGTGTGTGTTTGTGTGTGTGTGTATGTGAGAGAGAGACATGATAGCAGCCCTCTAGTACTTCAGTTAGTACGTCCACTTCCAGCACTTGAGGGGCTGCCCCAGAGAAGAGAGGGGTCAACCTCTTCTCCAGAGCCCCTGAAGGCAGGACAAGAAGCAACACATGGAAAATCAGCATGGAGAGAAGCAACTTAGAACTAAGGAGAAACTTCCTGACAGTGAGAAAACTCAAGTCAGTGGACCAGCCGGCCTCCTGGAGTTGTGGGTGCTCCATCGCCGGAGGTGTTCAAGAAAAGATTGGACAATCCTTTGTCCAGGATGGTACAAGGTCTGCTGCCTTGGGCAAGGGGTGGTGCTACAAGACCTCCAAGACCCCCTTATCAAGTCTTGACACCCCTCCAACCCTAGGTGTCAACGCTGCTAATATTGAATATTCTTGCTTTGTCAAAGCAAAAATATTCAATATTAGCAGCGTTGACACTAGAATTCCATGAAAATTCCTGGGATGACCAAGAGGACTGTGAGGTAAAGGGTTCTCTGTCTGGTTGTGTCCGACTCTAGGGTGTGGTGGTCATCTGTGTCTTGGTCCGAAGACATTTTCCATGGTCAGGTGACCAGCACGGCTATACGCCAAAGGCACACAGAACCCTTGTTACCTTCTCACTGCAGTGGTGCCTATTGATCTGCTCGCATTTGCAAGCTTTCGGACTACTAGGTGGGCAGAAGCTGGGGCAAGGAACGGGAGCTCACCCCATCCTGCAGAACCCGGGCCTCGAACTGGGCTGTCAGCTTTCCAGCTGACAAGCTCAGCATCTTTAACCGCAAATACCGTATTTAATATTTCATTGATTAAGCTTATTATACTGCTGAGCATCCTTTTGGGCTCCCTGGAAGCCACACCTGGGAAGAGAGAGCGTGGGTGGGTGGGTGGGGAGGACACCCCTGCTTGGCCTTCTCATGGGGGGGGGTCAAGGGGGGTTTGGCTGTTTCCCTCTGACACGCATGATTTCTGATTATCCTACATTTTATTATTTTACTGTCCTTAATTGCTCCTGTTTCTATGTTGCTGGGAGAGACCCAGCAGCAGAATAAGTAATACGCCCTTTCATTATGTGAAGGAAGCTGACGAAGGAGCAGCAGGGAAGGAAGAAGCAGAGTTAAGGGGAAGGGGTGTGAGGCCAGCAAAGACCCCAAGGAAACAAGGAACAATGAGGCTGGCAGACTTGAGGCCAGGAGCAATTATGAATCCAGTGGAGCAAGTGTAGTTAAAGCTGGGGAAACCCAAGATTCGCCAGTCTGCCACAGCTCCCGAGGCAGGGTGTTGGGTCTGGTGACCTCAGGGCAGAGGGCCAGGGGGACCCCAGGGGGACCCCACCCCAGATGGGACAACCAAGGAAGAAGTCCCCTTATGGTCCACGTGGTTCTGAAATCTTGGGCACAGTTGGCTCGTTATCCTGGCCACCTTGAGGGAAGGAAGGGTGACCCTGTCCAGTAGAGTAGGGGTCTCCAAACCTGACCACTTTAAGACTTGTGGACCAATTCCCAAAGCCGGCTGGGGAATTCTGGGAGTTGAAGTCCACAAGTCTTAAAGTGGTCAAGGATGGAGAGCCTGCAGTAGAACAAGGAGATGGTTCTGGTCAAGAGCGTCCACTGAAGGACACCGAGGGGGTCCAAACCAGGCTTGGAGCAGCTTCAGGGCAGGTCTGTGGAACAGGATTCCGTCCAGGATTCCTGGGTGGGGAAATCCATCATGCAGGACTTCCCTTCCCGCGCAAGAGCGGTGGGTGCAGGTGGGACCCTGTTTTTGAACAAGGAGCATTTCAACTCCAGATGCTCTTGCCCAGATTGGCCCCTCCCTGCCTGCCACGAATAGACCCGCCTCCTCTTGAATTACGTACAGTATTTGCCCTGATTCAGCTCTCTGGAAGAGTCAGGGCTTTGTTGCATGGGTGAACTAAATTGCACATCCAGGTCAACGGCTTCTTTTTCTCTCCTCTCCTTCCCCGGTTCGAAAGAGCAGAGTGGGGGTCCCTGCAGGCTGCTGCTCCCCCGCTCTGCTTCTGGAACCCAGGCCACAGGG